TAAAACTTTAAAAAATCTGCAAATAATGATCGACATATATTACCCTATGTTTTTATTATTATAGCATTGCATACCCTACTCATACATGTAACTTGATTGTGTTAGTAGTCAATTTATATATTACAATTCATATATATTAATTCGATTTTTCACATGTATCAGTATAATCTCACTTTTTGCCTAAACTTTATGATCAATGAATTTTCTTAATTAGCAGTTAGTAAATTGCAAATACATTAAAAGTTTTGAGTTTACTCAATAAGATCTAATTCTCGAAGATGCTCTGGAATAACTATATATGGGTCTTCATAATACCAAACATACCTTAAATGATCCAGTTTTCTTTATACAATTCTTTCTTGAGTTGATCTCACTCTTTCTGTTTATTAAAATTATTGAAATCTTCTTTATAGAAGAATTCGTTATATTTTTCATGCTGTTCTTCTTGCACTTCAATAGCAAATCCATAATAATATGTAATAAGGAATATCGAGTTTTAAACCTGTTAGATATTTTGATGTTTTTAAGAAACCTGACTAGCAATTTTCTGATGTGATCCAAAGTATTTAGATACAATTTCATAATATAAATTTTCATGTTTATGTAAATGACAAAATAGACACCAAGAGTTATTATTTTTAATGATTTTAAGTGTTGAATGTCTTTTATGTCCTTTAGCACATTTTTACAATAAGGGTAAATGAATATTAACAAATATCTCAGAAAGACACTTGTCATTCCTGCTATATGCAATTTGTTTAGCTTCTTCAAGAGTAAGACGTTTTGTACCTACACAATATGGGCATCAACTATTACAATATTTTATACTTGAAAGACTAACACTCCACTTATGCCCTTTAGCACATTTTCACAACAAAAGCAAATCAACATTAACAAATATTGTAGAAAAACACTCACCATTCCTGCTATATGCAATTTGTTTAGCTTCTTCAAGAGTAAGAGGTTTACTAGATGTGCAATCTGGACACCAAGTATTATAATATTTTATATTTCTAAGTGTTGAATACCATTTATGTTCTTCAGCACATCTCCACTGCAATAGTAATATACTATTAATATAATTTTCTGAAAGACATTCTCTATTTTTATTATTCGCAACCCGTTTAGCATTATTAAGAGAGTAAGATTTATTTTTTGAGCAATATGAACACCATTCTCTTGTATTTTTAATCCTATAAAAGGAAGCTATCCATTTATGACCTTTAGCACATTTCCACAATAAAGAAATATTGCAATTAATATATCTATCTGAAAGATACAAGCTATTTTGTTCTATAGCAATTTTATAAACATATTTTATAGAGTATTTGGTTTTTATTTTATATTTAATTAGTAAGGTTTAAAATGAAATCCCAACCAAGACGTATACTTAAAGAATCATCTACTGTCTTAGTAAAATCAAAAACTACAAATTTTTGATCTCACAAATGCTTATCAATAATTTTAGATACTTGTTTTGGATTATCAGTATATTGATGTATGATTCTATGAATATCGTTTTAGCTTTTCACCTCTTGAAATAGTACAAGATGGCT